GAGTTTAATCTATAATAAGCCAGTCTCTTCAACTCAATGCAAAGTTTTTCTCTAAAGGTGCAAGAGGTATTTAAATACAGATTATTTTCTACATTTTAACTAGGTGAAACCATTGCCCTTAGTTCTCTTTCCTATATATGTAGAATTCAGAACTTCTTGGCGATCAGCTTAAGCCCTTCCAAAAAGCTATATTCTGTATTTCCCTCTGAGTAACTTTTTACCCTTCCTCAACAAATCCCTAGGGACAGCTAAATTAAAATTATGGCTTCCATTTTCCTCTATTGCTTCATACCAACTTTTGAAAACACCATGGACCTAGATCACCAATTCAAAAATAAGGATGGAGCTCTGTCCAAACAAGTTGGAGGTACTTGTTGGTATGTGGTTTATCCTCTCAGCTGTGTGAAGCTTAGCTTGTTCTGGAAGGGGGTGCACTCCAACTATTTATTCGCTGCACAGTACCTGGGTGACCCCTATAAGGTACCACTGTTGAAAACTCTCATCTGTTGCTGACTTACATGCATGTACTTTTGATACAGGTTGTGTATTTAAGAATACAGTGTTCCTTTAAGATAAATTGCAGGTGTTTAGCTAAATATTGGTCTGGAAATTTTGCAGAACTACTGTAAATGTTTTATAATTTAATCCCCAAATGTTTTTGAAGTAATTTTCCATCTCTTGCACCTTTACTTCAGTTCTATATATCTTTCCTACATATCTTAATGTTGCAGTTTTCCCCTTTTTAATAGTCAGAAACAACTCTGCATCAAATCTGCATTCTGAGATTTAAGAAATGTCAAGTATTTGAATGTTGTCTTTTTCTTCTTCTCCATCTTCTTCTAGCATGAGGACATTCAGAACTTGTTGACAGTCAATATTAATAAGCTTAATACTGGTAACGACTAAATACAGTTCTAGCAGAGATAAGTGCTCTTTACATGCTGTCCTTTCAAAGGATGCTTCCATGTTTCTATCTTGAATTTACTGAGATCTCCTTTTGCTGTTTGTTGTTTTGCAGGTGATTCATATAACAGGAAGGTTACGTCTCAGAGTGTCGTTGTCCCATGGGCGGACAGTCCCTAGCCAGATCATGGGTCTTGTAGTTGTTGCTCATGCTCTGCCTCCTCCTACGATCAATGAAGTCAGAATTGACTGCCACATGTTTGTCACTCGAGTAAACATGGACCTCAATATCATTTACTGTGAGAATAGGTACAGCATCTTTGTCTTTTGTTTGTTTTTTCAGTGTTGCATAGCTAAATGTTTTGTTCTTTTACTCAGTGCTGCTATTGTACTGCAATAGACCTTTTGGAGTAGATAATGATTCCAGTTGCAAAATTATGTTTTCTTTCTACTAGACTTTCAATACTGCACACAGGAAAGAAGAACCTCATTTTGAGAATTGGAAAACTGAGCTGGAGACTGACTGATTGATGGTTGCCTAGAGAGTTAACTGGGCAATTGCGGGGGGGATTTAAATGTTGCTTTTCTGGCTGCAAAACTACTGTGGTAACCTCTGGATCAGCAGTTCCCACAATAGGATACTAGTACCCTTGGGAGTTTATCAGTGAGTGCCTGAGAAAAATCATAATAGAATACACCTTTCCCACCCCATCTGCAGCATCTACTTGCACAAAATCACACAGACAGACAGACCTATCTATTTTCCCAAGGGTACTCCCAGAGCAGTGAATCATCTTTCCCTGAGGCTCTGTGAGTCATTCATGTGTCTTTTAATTTTCTCTCAGGACTTATCCAGCATTAGCTCATCCTCTAACACCCCACCCCCACAAGGAGGTACAATACTGCTTGTAAAGTTTGCAGTACTGCACCGCCTTTGTTTTTGACAGTAACTCCTGATTAAACTCACTGTTGGTACTGGCAATACAATGTAGGAATATGTTACAATATAAATATTTTGCACTGTATTTAATTAGTTGCAAACATCAATCAAGTAACTTTTTGAAATGGGACTTTAAAACATTGAAATTTATGATCTAGTCAGAAGAGCTGCACCTGTCTGTTGCTCTACTGAACTTTTAAGAAACAGGTCCAAGAGGTCAGCAATGACTTACATGCTTCACCTTATGGTGCAAAATGCTAATAGAGGATTTAAGCAATGCAAATATTGCTAAGAAGCCATGAGACAGTGATAGTTATGTTGATGGTAGAGGGATGGCAGGTAATGAGCCATGGTAGAAATGACTCGGCTGAAGGCAAAGAGTAAACAGATGCTTTTCTGAGTATGTTTGAGCAACAAATTAGGGCTGATTATATGTTATTGAGTGACTCATTCTTATTTCCAAGTTTCTGCTGTGAGTCTTTCCTATAGTGAAATCCATGAACTTTAGAGATGAACATATGTGCTTTATTTTTCCCCCTGTTCTTAGTAATCCATAATGTCTTGCAGAAGTACTAACACACACACCCTTTCATTTTTCCACATTTTGTTTTGTCACCATCTGGAACTGAAATGGATCTAATTGGCATTGTTGCCACTTGAGGTACGGAAGATACTCAACATTGTAAATGTACAAAGTATTTTTATCAGGACAGCAAAGTCAGGAAACAAAAACAAACTGGCACTCATGGTTACATAAGTATTCACTACCCCCTTTGCTGTGAATAATGCTGGTTGCAACTTAGAGCCCCTAGAATTCATGCACTCTGCATATGTGTTTACATGCTGTCCACCTGTGTGTACTTCCAGTGCCATATTGCCCTTAGCCAATGTCTGGTAGAAACACCTTTGGAAGCAATGACAGCTGCAAGACTGTGTAGGTACAAAAGTCTCTGTCAGCTTGTGTATCTGGATCAAGCACTGCTTGCCCCTTTTTCTGGCAAAACTGCCCCAGCTCTGCTAGGTTGGATGGAGACTGTTGTTGAACAGCAGCTTTCAAGTCCTGCTGAAGTTTCTTAATAAGATTGTGTTCTGGGCTGGGACTGGCCATTCTAAGACATTCAGGTGCTTGTTTTTAAATCACTCCAGTGTTACTTCAGCTGTATATTTAGGATCATTGTCCTACCAGGTGAGCCTTCACCCCACTTCCAGGTCTGTGGCAAATTGAAACAGGTTTTTCTCTAGAATTGCTCTGTATTTGACACTATCCTTCCTATCTTCAATCCTGACCATTTTCTTAGGAAAAGCAGCCTCACAACATGATGCTGCCACCGCCACACTTCACTGTGGGGATGGTGTTTTCAGGGCACTGAGCACTGTGGCTTTGTGCCACACATAAATAATTTGCACCCAGGGCAAAAAGTCCAGTTTTGGTCTCATCAGACCAGAGAACCTTTTCCCATGTGTTTCCTGTGTCTCCCAAATGCCTTCTAGGAAGTGGCAAATTAAGCTTTGATATGGGTTTGTTTTAATAATAGTGTTTTTCTTACCAGTCTTCCATAAAGGCCAGCTTTGTGGAGCTTCCAGGTAGTAGTTGTCCCATGAATGGTTTCTTCCATCTCAGCTGCAGATCTCTACAGCTCTTAAGTTACCATTGGCTTTTTGGGTACCTCTGTTATTAATCCCTCTTTGCCCAGTCATTTAATTCCAGTGGAATACCTTCTTTCAGAAAAATCGCAATTCACCATATTAATTCCATTCTGTAATAATGGATTTAATGATACTTTTGGGGATGTTCATATTTTGGGATATTTTTAATAACCCAGAGTTGCTTGCTGCTTTTGTACAACTTTATTCCAGAGTTGTTTTGAAAGCTCCTTGGTCTTTATTATTATTATTATTATTATTATTATTATTATTATTATTAAACATTTCTATGCCGCCCCTTGCTGAAACCTCGGGGCGGCTTACAACACGATAAAATACATTGAAATACAATAGCACATAATAAATTACCATTAAATACAAAAATACAAAAAATACATTGATTTACAAATATAAGATTAAAATTATCAGTATAAATTAAGTAAATAAAAATATAGGAGGAGAAAGAGAAGGAAGAAGAAGTTTATGATGCTCTTTGTTTTGATAGGCCCTTCAACAAACTCTGGGTCTTTCCAGAAACACGTGCATTTAATCTGAGATGGACTGCACAGAGGTGGACTACATTCAACTATATATTTAGAGTATGTGACTTCCTGAGACTGGATTGCACCTGAGCTTCTTTAAGAAAGTCACAGCAAAGGAGGCAGTGAATACTTATCAACCAACCAGTGCCAGTTTGGGTTAATTTTTGTGCCCCCCCCCCAAATTTTTCACTTGCACAATATCTTGAGTATCTTGAATACATGAAGTGGTAATGGTGCCAACTAAACCCATTTCAGATGGCCACACAACAGAAAGGGGAGAGCAGAGCTGAACATGTGTGTGAGCTACTGCACAAATCAGTCCATAGAAATTGGATTAACACTGCAGAGGGGCTTGGAAGGCAGTGAGCTGTGCCCTGTTCTCATGGCTACACATACACAGTGAACACTTGTGGGCTGGGGAGGTAGGGAAACAGAGCACTGGATTGTGGCAACAGGCCTTGTCCCTGAAATATCTGAATTCAGTTGGTTGTGTGAACAACCTCTATGCATATGAAGAGTATCTGGATATTTTGCATGCTTTTAACATCTTGCTTTCCGCATTTAAAATTAATTTAAAATAAATGTGGGCTGAGGAACATGCAACTAACCAGAGCTGAAATTCAATGTAACAATTTAGACATAAGTCATGTTGTAGTCTTCCTTTCAATTGCCTGCATTTTTCATTTTATTTCCAAAATACAATTTAATTAGGGGAAAAAAGAATCCATTATGGAACCTGAATCCCCTCACATTTAACCCATGAAATAAGGGAGCATTAGCACAAACAGTATATACAAAGGATATATTGCTCAATAGGTTCCATTGATAATCTAGACATCCTCCATTACATACAGCAATGAAAGGCTAAGCAACTGGATACAATTTTCTCTTGGGACTGTTGCTAGATCCAGTAGCTGTTTACCCTCTTAATGACTGACTCCATTCCCAGTGCTTCCTGTTAACTGAGCAGATTAACAAGCAGCAGAGCAAATAACCAAGTTTTTACTGCCACCTGCCTGAAACTCATTTCCATAGCCAGTATATTTGGAAAGTGCTCAGAAGACAACCTAGGCCCACTCTTCAGTCCTACTAGTGCTAGATTTTCAGCAGACCAGAAAGAAAGAACAAAACTACAGTTTGACATGTGGAGCCTATGCAGGTGAGAGGCTGTTTACCACCTCCTTCATGTCAACTTGCTGATACCCACGATGTATCACTACCCACCTTGCAACACCTCCAACCCAAAGTGGGTGGGAGAACTTCCATCTACTGCAAGTATCCCTGGTCCACTCTGAAGGAAGAGGCTAGAGGCAACATGCTCCACTGATTTCTCCTGCTTCCAGATAAAGTGAGCAAACAATCATAGCAAATACTTCATCTAATTTTTGTCAGATGAAGAGAACCTTAGATCTGGAATTTGTTGCAACATTTTTTGTCATACCTAGTTTTCAGTGTTTCTCAGACTGACTGCTAGAAGTAGCACTCTGTCAGTAATCTACGTACTCTAACTGTGTGAACCCAGCTTGTGTTTTGAGAGCTATCTCTTCACTAGTATTCACTGCCTAACATTTGGAAGCTACCCTGCAAAATATTCCCTTGGAATCCTAATGGCTAACAGTTCTGATTAGCCCCTTAAAGAGACATTAGTAAACATTCTGTTTAAAGCATAAAAATGAATTATGTCTTCTAAAGGAAGAATAAAAAACCTCCTATGCTTTGCAGACCAGCCTGGTTCACCCAACATGTTCTTCAATTTTGGAGCTTTTTTTCCCCTTTACACTGATGCCTGAGGACATTGACATCTGGACAATCAATAGCAGAATACACATACATGGGGAGGTTGAGCAGTGCATAGAACAGGAAGAGCTACTGAACGATTTAAAAGTTTCTGTGTGAATAAACCACAAAGTCCCAGTTGAAAGAGCCACGAGTGAAAGCAGAGATCCCAGCTGAATAAGAATAAAAAAGATAACACCCCCAGGCATCTGTATGTCTCAGCATTTAAATTATATCGCTTGAAATGTCAGTTTGGAATTTGTGCCAGGAAACAGTTGAAGAGGCTTTTTCATGAATAGAAGACCAATCTGTTGAAATGAAAGGTGTCTCTAATCATTCAGCATAAGCATAGCGTGTTCTTATTTTATTATGTAACCTTGAATTATCTTGCTCTTTTAATGAGGAGCTTTGTATTTTAAGGAAATATGTGCACGACCTTACAGGGTGTTGTCAGGAGGGGACTTGCTGAAGAAACGCTTTATGCTATTTTGGGATGTCTTCAGCAGCTTTCCTTTAAAAACCAACCATATCAACAAATCACTGAATTTTTGATTTGGTGTTTTATTGGTATGAATGTTTGTATGAAAATCATTATTATTGTTACTACCTTTATATCCTGACTTTTTTTTCTCTTGTGAGAAAACCAGCGTTCTCCTTCACTCCATTTTTATGCTTTCAACAACAACGCTATGGGATAGGCTAGGCTGAGAGTTAGTGATTGTCCCAAAGTCACTACTGGACTTCATAGCTGAGTGGGGACTAAAACCCAAATCTCCTAGTTCTCTGGTCCAGGACTCTAACCACCACAGTGGCATCATTACAGGTGTGCCAGATTGATAAATAGTATTTCTATCAATGTGTGTTTCTAGGCACTGAATGTAGGAGTTCCTGTGTTGGCATATAATAGCATGGGGTGGCAGTATGCCAATACATGCACTATCCCAGAAATATAATGTGAAATTGCCATGGCTTTGTATGCCATTACAGAAATGGCTTTTCAGGCAGATAAATAAGTAAATATGTGTGAGATTGGAATAGAAGACATTTCACTGTTCCTGTATTTTTCACCCTTCTCAATTTATATGCTCTATTTTTCCTTTATAGGATTAGTGATTACATGGATCTGACCCCTGTAGATATCGTAGGGAAGAGATGTTACCACTTCATTCATGCTGAAGATGTGGAAGGGATCAGGCACAGCCACTTAGACTGTAAGTACTCTAGCCCTGTTAAAATAATCTTGTCTCACAACTGTTATTGAACTAGTATTTGCATTCCTGTCCTATAGGTTTTGTATTCTACTTTTACAGGAGTGATTCAGATAGTAAATCATTTAAGATAGTGAATGATGCAAACTGAAACTGATGGATTCAAATACACTGAATCTGTGTATGTGGCCACAGAATTTGGTGGAGGGATGTTGTGGCAGAGATTTTTACATTCTTGCATGAAATTTGAAAGAAAATTCATTTAGCAATGAATGGACTGAAAAATATTCAATAGAAATTCATTAAGAGTGACAACATCTCGAGATGCTTTAAAAGGTTCTTATTATTAGCATAAATATAGCATGTTCTTCATTATCCAGATATTTTTAATTGGTTACTTTATTGAGAAGTGGACCAAAAACCCACTATTGCTAGGGTTGGTGGAATGTACCAACTGAAATTCTTATCTATCCTATGAAGTAAAACAAAGGGGTAGGATTTGCCAGCTTGGGCTAAGCAAAATGTCTTGCTCATTCAGCCACCAACTGAATTGTCTTGGAAAAGTGGTGCATGATGCAGATAATCATTGCTCGTTCTTTGTCTCTGCATCAGAGTTAATCAAACGTCTGCTGCCTCTGGACACCCAGGTTCTATTCCTAATTGCACTGCAAGCTTTATAAAGCAGCTCTACAGAGATAAGCATAGGCTGCTGAATGCAGAGGGCCATGCTCATCCCAGGCAGAGTGGGAGGAACAGTAGAACCAATCCTCAGTTCCTTCTTCTCCTGGTCTGCATTTTCACTAGGCAGTTGCTTTCCACCATCTAGCATTGGTATTTCAGAGGAGGAGAGAAAAAAATGCTTGGAGCAGCTGTAGGTTAGCTGGGGTCTTGGCTGCTTTAGCCTCCCCCCACCCCCAGGACACTCCTTTAACCCTCTCTTAGGTCATTCTCCTGACCTTGGGGAGTAGCCAGTGCTTTTCTTCAGTGCTGGTTAGGAGGGGGTTAGGGAGGGGCTTTGGGATCCTGATTCCAGGGTTCAAGTGCTGTCTCCAGCCTCAGTACAGTGAATCTCAACTATCCGATCATTTCCTCCTTCAATAAAATTAGTAGATGAAGGACCTATATACACTGTTGCTTAAGGAATGTTTGCAAGTTTATATTGGTGGCTCCTAAGGAAGAGCACAGCTGGGTTTTTATGAGGGCTGTTTTGGTTCTGCTATGTTACTGCAACAGAAATGTTTAAAACGCTGTTACAGAGCAACACTTTTTATTAAAGTGCATGCCATCTCATAATTCCTTCAATATTTCAAAAGCGCAGGAGTGAAATTCAGAGTGACTAATCTACCTAGTTATTTTAAAGGGTAGTTAACTTAGTTAATTACTGCCTTGAGTTCTCAGTATTTAATCTGGCTTTTATATGTGTTAGGGTAGCAAGAAACAAGTGAAGTATGGGCAGGGAAATTTAGAGTCAGAGTGCTCCAGTTGTCAGGGCTTCCAACACATGCAAAGTCCTGCCAAACACATCCCAGCAAGGCAAAAGAGAGACTGGAGCTGTCTCCTCTAGCTCTTACAAAAATCCAGGAAAAATATTCATGCCTGCTCCAGGGCAGCAGTGTTTCTGGCCCCATGTTGGGAGCATGACAGAGGCTTTGAACCTGCCCCCTATTTACCACTTTCAATGTCAGAGTTCCCCTTCATAGGGCAGCTCTTTCCCTCTCTGCACTCAGTAAGGGAGATCCAATAGATTATGCAGCCTTCAGACACCCACCCAGGGGCCACGGGATTGCAGACTTGGAAAAGTACATTTCATTAATATAGTCGATTTAAGACAGGCAAGAAAAAAAATCACCTTCTTTGTTTTGTGGCTTGAAGCTTAACCAATGGACGAGATTATGTGCTTCAGTTACTGACTCTACATGCATTTCTAGTTCTTGTTTGTTCTTGGGGCGCTTTGTCCTAGTCTGGATTATGATAAATTGGATAATTATCATGGCTAATACCTGTTCTCCATGAATTCATCTAATAATTGTCAAAATGATTAAATGATTAAAAATTACTGTTATTATTAAAAACAAATATACTGCTTTCCAGTGGGATATCAGAGCAATATAACAATAAGAACACTGTAAAATAATCACTAACGGTATATATGGTTGACTATTACATACTGTCTAGGGCACTCTGTAGTGAAAACCTGCATGAAGAACAGACATCTAAGGTCAAGATTGAAGGCACCATCCTAATAATAATGGGGAATGTATTTCAGAGGGTGAATACTGCAGTGCTAAATGCTCTGTTACCTGTGCTCCTGAGATGAACCTGTACTGTGAAAAGCACTCCTCTTGGGTACTGAAAGAGCGAGACAGAAACATATGTTAGTATGTCCTGAGTTAGTATGTCCATCACAACTAGTGACCATCTCAGCACCCTGTGGTTTTTGGACTCCAAAAGTTCATTATATATCACCAGGAGTCCTATTTGTTGTAGTTTGTCTTGATCTTCCTGCCAATCAGTTTTGATTTCTAGCACTGAAAGAAAAAAGAGCTCTTCTTACTTTGATTAACTTATGTCACACACTTTCTCTATGACATGTTTTTCTATGCAAAAATGCCTCAACTTCTTAAGGCTTCTGCCATAAGGAAGACAGTCTGTTGCACTCATTTATCTCTTTCATACCTTTCCCAGCTGAATGATATCCTGACAAAAACAGCACATAATTTTACAAATGTGGGCAAACCACAGTTCTCCATAATGTTATTATGATACACTGTTTACTTTCAATTCCTTTCATAATGATTCCTGACATTGAATTTGCCTTTTTCATGCCCCAGCTCAGAGCTAATGTTTTCAGTGAATTTCCAAATATCTTTCCAGGTTGCTATAGCCAATAATCCTGATTTCTACCTGGTTACATTTTTTGTGTGTCTCCTATTGAGTTTTATTTTTCTCTTGCTTCCATAGGGTGTCATATTTTAAATATATGAATTTTCAAATTGAGAGCCAGTGTGGTGTAGTGGTTAAGAGCATGGGACTGGGACTCAGACGATCTGGGTTCGAGTCCCCGCTCAGCCATGGAGCCAACTGGGTGACTTTGGGCCAGTCACAGACTCTCAGCCCAACCTACCTCACAGGGTTGTTGTTGTGGGGATAAGATGGAGGAGGAGAATGATGTAAGCTGCCTTGAGCTCTTTGTAGGAAAAAGTCAGGATATACATCGGAAATAAAATATACGCATCGGAATAAAACATTTAGTTAAAATTAATATCACATCCTTCAATAGAATACATCAATTCCTAGAGAGAAAACTAAATGCAGAAGAACAGTGTAAAAGCATATGGAATTCAGAGCTGAAACATTAGCTTTGCACAATGCCTGAAAAAAATGTGGCTGAAAAGATGACACACAGAAGCAGGGCACACTTTTCTGCAGAGAACTTTCCTTAAATGGGGCAGCATCACCATGAAGATTTTTGAACACCTTCTCTTCAAATTTCAGTTTTAAAATTTCAAGGCAGTTTGCAATAAATATTACAATAAAAGTAAATAAATAGATGCAGCAGAAAAAGGAAGACAGTGGTTTCTAAAGGAAGCTGTGATCAGTCATTACAAACAAAAGAGTTTTTACCTGGCATATAAGAGCCAAACTAGATGTGACACATTTTACATAATTACAAAAATGCATGAATGGCTTTTTAAAAGTAAGTTGAAGAAGTTGAATCCAAATCCATCATTCTGCCAGTGGAAGAGTAATGCTTACTGAACAAAGCATCTGTGTCCTTTCTTTCCTCTGCAGTCCCCAGATCATCTCCAAAGCTCATTTAGAGGTACAGGGGGAGGCAAAAGACAGCTGAACATAGAAATCCTATCCGCAAGTGGCATTCATCTAAAGGCAGAAAAAGAGATGCAGGGTTCTCAATCTAGAACAGAAGCCTGACATGGAGGATAGGGGTGATTCCATCTCTTTAGACCCTCTGCAGTCCTGCTCCAGATAGCCTGTGCCTGCTATTTACAGCTGTTGATGTGTTTGTTCATTCTTGTGTTTGTTTGATCCATTTGCTTCCAAACTGAATTTCTAGCACTTAATTTGCACAAACCCTTGTCATGCCATAGCACTGAGACAATACTTTCATAAGCTTCTGTGATAGTTTCCAATGCAAGCAAGTCCCCTAATCCAGAGAGGAACCGCAGTGAGGCAAATTGTTAAATAAACCCTAGTCCCCACTCCGGTGTCCTGATACACATCAGAAGTCCCTGCTGTTTACTTTTTAAAAGCCTTCCACCCAGTTGCTAATTGCATGGATGTGATCGCAGCTAGTTTTGCCTTAAAACACAGACAAGTAGGCCCTAGGTGAACACCCCTGGGGATGTAGTATCTGTGTGTGGCAATTGCTGGAAACATTAGTTGGAGGGTGCTCTTGCATTCATATTCTCTTGTGAACAGAATGCTGGATTATGACTGGTCTGATCTAGCAGGACTTTTCTTATGGTCTTAAGCGCATCGCTACCAGACAAGTCACATTCTTAGTCTCCATCCTAATGGCAGGTTTGTATCTGACTAAGTAGCAGACTAATTCTTGCAATTTAGTCAGGTCATTTCAATTATGCTCATAAACTTGGGACGATTTTACCATCCTAAACCCTTTTGGTGTCTTGAACATGTTTGACTACCTCATTATTGCTCAATGATGCCATATAACTTACATATGAATTGGAGAAGCAAATCACATGCATGCACTCTGCTTTTCTGTTTTACTTGGTTTCTTGGGACCAGAATTGATGAAATGTTAGCAATCCATGGCTGGATCTACCATCACTTTTGATTACCATGATTACCATAGTGGTCGTACTATGAATCAGGACTGTGACACTGGGCTAAGAGGTTTAATCCTCTCCCGCTGTGCTGTTTCCCAGACTAAAGTGCTCTTATGCAAGCACCACTAAAGGTTCTCACCCAAGCACCCACAATTTCCATTGTAGGAAATATATGTGTATCCTGAAAGAACA